TGGCAGTTCCTCAGAAAGTTAAATTCAGTTACCTATGATTCAGCTGTTTCTTTCGCTATAACTGAATACCACACACTGGAAAATTTACAAAGAAATGTATTTCTTATAATTCTAGAGGCTGGGAAGTCCAAGACTGAGGGATCACATCTGGTGAGGGCCTTTTCGCCAGTGAGGACTCTCCATAGAGTGCTGAGGCGGGCCAGGGCATCACATGGTAAGAGGGCCAAATAGGCTTTTATAACAGATCTGCTATTATGATAACTAACTCATTACCTTGATAACCCATTAATCCACTAATCTACGAGTGGGCTAATCTGTTCATGAGGGCAGACTTCTCATGACTTACTCACTTCCCAGAGGTCTCACCTCTCAACACTGCCGTGTTGAGGACCAAGTTTCCAACATGAACTTTTGGGGGACACATTCACACCATAGCACCTGGCAATCTCATACCTATGTATATATCCATGCAAAATGAAAATATGTCTACGGAAACACTTGTACATGAATGCTCGTAGCATTATTCATAATGGCAAAAAAGTAGGAACAACCCGAATGTTCATCAATTAATGATGAGTAAACAAAATGTAATGTCTCTACCCCTTGGAATATTAGTCATAAAAAGTAATGAAATACTGATAGATGCGTCAACATAGATAGACCTTGAAAACATTGTACTAAGTGAAAGACGCCTGATGCAAGAGGTCACACATACTGTATGATTCTACTATTTGTATGAACTGTCCAGAACAGGCAAATGCAGAGACAGAAAGTAAATCAGGGGTTGCCAGGAGCTGGAAGGAGTGGAATGGGGAGTGATTGTTAATAGGTACAGTTTCTTCATTGAAATAGTGAGCAAGTTCTGGAATCAAGTGGTGATGGCTGCATAACTGTGTGATGTATAACACTAATTTTGTTAATAAAATACGTATAATTACATAAGCATATACACATTATTTAATCAAAACAAGCAGGAGGCCATTCTCATGGGATTGTTTCTGTATCCAGATCTCTGAAATAAGCACACAGGAACTTAACTTGCAAACATTTCTTATAACTAATTAAAAAAAAAAAAAAAAGCCTCAGCCAATCACAAACAGCCAACCAACCAATTGGTTATATGGTCAGGGACTTCTCATCAGACCGTACCCAAATAAGGCAAATGCCTCATCACACCACATCTCAATAAGGAAAACATCTAGCTGTAGCCAATCAGATGATTTCTCTACTCTGCTTCTGTATTCAGCTTATAAAAGCTCACTGCTAATGATACTACTTGGAGTTCTCTGAACCTCTTCTGGCTCCAAATGCTCTTGCTTCATGAATCATTCTTTGCTTAGATGAACATCAACATATTTATTTTGTCTAAAATTTTTCTTTTAACAATATATATACTAGATGGTGAGGTGACAATTGATTTTTTTCTTTTTCTCTTGTAGTGCTTTCCTTTTTCTCCATTTTACAGAGAAAATGCATTACCTTTGTAATTAGAAAAAGAAAACGCTAAAATAGGTGGTGGGTATGTGGGTGTTCACTGTTGTATGTATGCATGATAGGGGTGTATGCATCTAAATTATCCAAAACTGGTTTCAAGTCATTCACATACCAACTAAAAGGAAGTAAGGCTGGAATTCAGTTTGAAGACTTAGAATAACCAAGGATATTCTAATTCTAATACAGTACTCTATCAGAACCAATCTATAGACCAGCATGTAAGAAAAATCTTTCTTTTTAAAATTATGTGCAAATTATCTTCTTAGTGTTAGCACTTCATTTCTCTGTGGAAATGGCCACTAGGATACCAGGTAATTGGTGCAGAATAAAAAAATAATAAAACATGGGAAAAAAAGGAACGCAATATGACTTCATTATTTATGCTCTGACTCCCAAAACTCCATCTTACTTAGTTGCCTGTTTTGCCCCTGCCTGTCAGGCCTCCCATTTGGCTGCAGAATTCTCCAGCCCCTACACATTATTGTTGCTTTCCCTTTTTATTTAACATGAATGGTAATACTGTTCTTCCAGTTGTGAACATTTCGGAGGATAAAAATGATTTTTCTTTCCCTCCTTTCTCCCCTATCCTCTAATCCAATTAAGGTCTACATTCTTCTGATTTTCACTTTATAGTGCTTCACTTCTTTTACCATTAGCATTAGCTTAATTTTGCACCAATTACCTGGTCTCCTAGTGGCCATTTCCACGGAGAAATGAAGTGCTATCACTAAGAAGATAATTTGCACATAATTTAAAAAGAAATAGATTTTTCTTACGTGCTTGTCTATAGAATGGTTCTCATAGAGTATTATATTAGAATTAGAATATCCTTAGTTATTTGAAGTCTTCAAACCCTGAATTCCAACCTCACTTCCTTTTAGTTTGCATGTGAATGACTTGAAACCAGTTTTGGGTAATTTAGATGCATACACCCCTATCATAGACAACAGAAATATAAGTATTCTAAACTATGACTGGCCTTTATAGACAACTGGGCCTGCTAAGCGAACTATGGTAAAATTGACAATTATCATTTTGGAAGATATCTGCCACCAATTTTATCATATTATTCATTGACCTACAGGCCCATTTTGCTGCAACTAACTTATCATAGAAGATTCACCAAGGAGTGAAATTGCTTACAATAAGATGCCCCATGGGTCCTTCATTAACTTGTTTTCCCTGATGAATGTACTAATGGGCTGTTGGTAACATTTACCTTAAAATTTTCCCATGTTAAAGGAATTGCAGAGAAGATACAGTTATTTTGGAGCCTCAATTATGTCTATATGTTAGAATGGAAATGCTTTTTATGAGGAAGAATTTGGCTCTCTCAAAAACCTTTTTCCCCATAGGTATATGGGGTGGCCATTTTGGGGGAACCTTCATTCTTTAAAGAACCTCTCAGCCCTGTCCTTCATTTGGTTCACACATCACAAAGACCTTCAGGTTTTTGATCACTGGGGTAGCCAATTCTTTATCAAAAACTCATGGAAATTGCTTACTCAATTTTTTTGAAACGGGGTCTCACTTTTTTGCCCAGGCTGAGGTGCAGTGGTGTGATCACGGCTCATTGTAACCTCTACCTCCCAGGCTCAAGCGATCCTGATTGCACGTGTGTACGACCACACCCAGCTCATTTTCTGTATTTTTAGTAGAGGCAGGGTTTCACCATGTTGCCCAGGCCGGTCTTGAACTCCTAGACTCCAGTGATTCACCCACTTCGGCCTTCCAAAGTACTGGGATTACAGGCATAAGCCACCTTGCCAGGCCTCTGGAAATTACTGTTAAAATACGTAGTCTATCAGTTCTTCCAGATATTTTAAACTTTATTCTCAGAGGAAGCCAGATCATCGAGGAAGTATACAGCTGGTCTTTAGTATAAGCTTTCAGCAAATTACAATTTGGCCACATGCCAAATTGTGGCCTCTATAAGTGTTTACCACGAGGCCTCTATTAGGAAATGACTTAAATTCATGATTGCATGCATCTACTTACAGCTACAAAATATTGTGTGCTTATTCTGTCAGATACCATGCTAGGTGCTTTTAGTGCATCACTTAAATTTAACTCCCACCCAACCCATGGAGTGGATATCATCCCTACTTTACAGATCAGGATACTGAAACTTAAGTTCACGGCTCAGAAATGGCAGCAACAGATTCAATCCCAGGTTTGTCTGATTTTTAAATCTGGTGGCCTTACCCCACCGGGAAAGCCAGTGGGAAATTTCCACCATATCATATACTATCCAACAATAAGCATCTGCATAGATACTTTGACAAGAATTTTTTGTTTTTAATTTAAAAAATTCCTGGTTTTATTCTTCCCCACTTTCACTATCACTTCATGGATTTCCTCAGTTATTTACTTTTATACCATTATAATAATGTATTTGTGTAAACTGCCTAAAATGTTTTTGGGTTTATAGTCTATTGAGGTATAAAGAAAAATAACTCAAAAAGCTCCTCCAAAATCCTGTAATAATTACTTTTACTTAATGTTGCCTGGGGTTTTTTTTTTTTCGTGTTATTTGCCTTTATTAAATTTTCAGGTTTATGTTCTAGTGTACACATTGCTTAAGTTATGAAATAACTGAGGAAAGCCTTCTATTTTAAACTTCCTCTGGGTGCTTCTAAATACAACAGATATGTTTTCTCTTAGGCTTGGTACAGATAACCAGATGTTTGAAGAAAGGGAGGGGGGGTTGGGCATGGTGGCTCACTCGTATAATTCCAGCACTTTGAGAGGCCAAGGTGGGCAGATGGCTAGCACCCAGTTCAGGACCAGTCTGGGCAACACAGCAGGACCCTGACTCTACAAAAAATTTAAAAAATTAGCTGGGCATGGTGGTACCACACTTGGGAGACTGAGGTGGGAGGATTGCCTGGACCCAGGAGGTTGAGGTGAGCAGGATTGTGCCACTACACTCCAGCCTGGGTGACTGGGCAAGACCCCATCCGAAAAAAAAAAAAAAAAAAAAAAAAAAAAAACAAAGGGAGAGGGATTAAAAGTAGTTAAATGAAAATTTATAATAGAAGCTATTTTAAAAATTCCATTATTTTACTCCCCTGCTTTGAATCGAACAAGTTATGGCACACGGCTTGCTGAATCCCGAGGTCTCCTTATTGGTACCTTGTAACCATTTCTCTTTTCATTATCCTTCAGATTCTGTTTAAAATCCTAAAGTTACTTATTTACATTAGGAGGTCCAGGTATTTCCTAATAGGAATAAGCACTTTTTTTGTTTTTGTCATTTTGCAAGCTCCTCTTCTGTACCATGCCGTCTTTTTTAAACAGCCCATTTTGATGTCATCACAGAGCACCTGGTGTCAGCCACTCAAAGGGAACATTCTGCCTCCTGGGTTTCAAGTGCTTTTCTTGGTAACGCTAAGCACAGGCCAACATGGAACACTGGTTTTCCCACTTGCTGCTTTGGCTTTCTGTGGTGGCACGGCGCCATATTTTATGATCAGTTTTTCACTTTGGCATTCGTTCATTCAAACTTTTTTTTTTTTTTTTGGTTGGTCTTCCAGGTCTTATCAAGGAACTCATTTGACACATGTAGACATCTTCACCTTTCAAAAACACTCTGTTCTGGAAGTTCTGTTGCTAATAATTTTAGGGTTTAATTAGCCGAGATAGAGAAAGCATTTGTCACTTAAATTCCCAGACAGTGACTTGGCAAAATGAGACCTACTACATTAAGTGTAAAAATGAAGAAGAAAGAAAAACAAATTTGGTATCATTTCATGCTAGTTGGATATCAGTATATGAGAATGGTTAAGTGTTTCACTTTTTAATTTCCAAAGTATTAGTGCAGTTCATGTATAGATACAGGAACAAGAGAATTAACATTATTTGAAAAAATTTCAGCCAGGTGTTGTGGCTCACGCCTGTAATCTCAGCACTTTGGGAGGCTGAGGCAGGCAGATAGCTTGAGCCCAAGATTTTGAGACCAGCCTGGGCAACATAAGGAGAGCCCATCTCTATTTTTTTAAATTCATTACATAAAAAAGATTGGGGCAGTGGGTAAAATTGTTTTACTTGCTTTTGACATCATATTTGCTCCTTCAACTAAAATGGTTCCTCCATCTGGCCTGATATGATGTATGAGTAATTAAAAAACTTAAAATGGTTTCCTCCTGCTATAAAGTAGTAGTTTTCTCTCTTATGGATTTCTTCCTCTTTCAGAGATTCAGAGTCAAAATTTGTAAGAATACTATTGAGCCTGGCATATAAAACTTTTATGTGAAGTTAGTCAGATTGAGTATTTGGGAGTGGGAGATCTCAGAGGACAGAAAACTATTTATGAAAACTAACAGGTAATGACGAAATATTCCAGTGGTTCTGCAGATGATCCTGACTCATTTTCTCTTCATGAACATCATATTTAGAAAATAATTTTTTCTTACTGAAGTGAATTAACAATTCAGCTTTCTATTTTTATTTATCAACAATATGTAAGTGCTGGATTAAAATACCTCTCAATATGAGATGACATTGGTATTCTAGTGAAGACAAGACACAGAAATCCAATGATGAAGCCTTATGAGTAAATGGATGGCTTCCATTAGATTTTTGTCAAATATTGAATACAGATCTCCATTAATATCTCTCTGGGCTCAAGGGGCCCAAATAAAAAACACTTGTAAAGATAGTCAAGAGGACAAGGAAACCATGAGATACAGAGAATCTGGGGTAAGGCAAGGTCTTGCCATGCGCTTCCCCTCTTTGGCATCAATACCAAATTCTCTGCACGTTTTTCAGAGTGTATGTTCCTCGTGTATTTTGAACCTTTTTCACTAAAAGCATGCACTGCTATCTATCAAGTTTCCAATCTGTGATGGTCTGTTAGGTTGCAACAAATGTTTCTACGACATCAATGAACTCATTTGTGATCAGGAAACAGGAGCATGAACTCAGTGTAACATGGAGTTCTTCTGGTGTCTAGGCACGGGCTCTGAAATAGCAGAAGTAAAATTTTAACTCTAAGGAGGAAAGGAAAGTTCTCAGTCATTTCAGCTCTTAGGGAAATAAAAGGAGTGCCCGCACCTGGGGCTCCTCCCCAGGAGGCATACACCCTGATTTGCATGATTCTGGGCCCTGACTGGCTGCACTTCCTCCTGTGCTCAGAGCTCCTCTTCCACCTGCTCTGCTCAGCACTCAGAAGCCAATAATCCCACTCAATTGTTTCTGTGCAGTTTTTTAACAACCCCTCAGGCAGCCTCCACCACATGATAAGTTATCTGCCTAGGCTATCCAGGTTATCTCTAGAGACTGTTCATGTTTTTGTTAGTGCTTTAGTTACACAGATGTACACATTTTGAGAAGTTTATCCCTAATCTTATTTTTACAGTAAACTCTTTAGTAAACATTATGGTAGAATGCATTGTTTTTGAAGAACAGATACCTTGCATTATCACAGAAGTACTGCACTTTGCACTTACTGGATGGTTAATAAATGCCAACACATTATTTATTATTAATTATCACAGGAATTTAAAAAAGTGATTCATAGAATGACTGTATTAACAAGAAACCTAATTACAAGAATTGAGCAAGACCATTTGACTCCCTAGAGTATAGAATCTCCAAAGTCAGTCATTTATTTATTTTTGAGACAGAGTCTTGTTCTGTCACCCAGGCTGGAGTGCAGTGGTGCAATCTCAGCTCACTGCAACCTCTGCCTCTGGGGTTCAAGTGATTCTCCTGCCTCACCCTCCCGAGTAGCTGGGTCTACAGGCTCTGCCACTATGCTCGGCTAATTTTTGTATTTTTAGTAGAGATGGAGTTTCACCATGTTGGCCATGCTGGTCTCGAACTCTTGATCTCAAGTGATCTGCCTGGTTTGGCCTCCCAAAGTGCTGGGATTCCTGGTGTGAGCCACCACACCTGGCCTAAAAGTCATCTTAAATTTTAAGATACGTTTACTGTTTTAGAGAGACAGAGGCTAATTTTTCATTTTCAAGGATTGCTGAACAATCATCCATGAGTTCTTGAAGTTGAATAACAGGAAACTGTACTTGTTTTTCAAACCATTTGGCTACTGTAAGAAGCTGTTGGTCATAAAATGCACGTCCAATAAACTGCAGTCCTATTGGCAGCCCTTGGTTTGAGAGTGCAACAGGGATACTCACTGCTGGCAATCCTGGGAAAAGAAAGAAACCCAATAGGTGATTAATTCTCCATCCTAAGCAGCAAAGACCTCTTACACTTTCCAATGCTAATAAATACAATAAAGTATAAGGTCTAAAAAACAACCAAAAGGCCAGGTGCGGTGGCTCACGCCTATAATCCCAGCACTTTGGGAGGCCGAGGCAGGTCAGTCAGTAGTTCAAGACCAGCCTGGGCAACATGGTAAAGCCGCATCTCTACTAAAAACATAGGAATTAGCTGGGCGTGGTGGCAGGCACCTGTTATCCCAGCTACTTGGGAGGCTGAGAGAGGAGAATTGCTTAAGCCCAGGAGGTGGAGGTTGTAGTGAGCTGAGATTGTGCCATTGCACTCCAGCCTGGGTAACAGAGCAAGACTCTGTTTCAAAACAAACAAACAACCTGCCCCCCCCCCCCCAATATTGTGCTATACAATGATTTTATACTGTGTTTTGTTTATATATTTTGGAAATCATTCTGTATCAGTTCACAGAAACCTTCTTCACTCACTCCTTATTGCTGTATAGTATTCCATTACTTGGTTTTACCATGATTGAGTAAACCAGTCTTCTACGGTTGGTTATTTAGATTGTTTTCAATATTTAGCTATTTTATACAATGCCTGAAAGAATTACTTTGTGTATGTATTGTTTTGGTATTCCTGCAATTTTTTTAGATGAAGAAGGGCTTGCTTCATCAAAGGACAAATACGTATGTAATTAGATATTGCCAAATTCCCCTGCAAAGAAGTTGTATCATTTTGATCTTCCACCTACAGCCTTGCAAACAGTGTGTGGTGTTCAGTTTTTGAATTTTTGGCAATCTAGTAGATGAGAAATTAGTTCAGGGTAGTTTTAATTCCAGGTTTGGGCAGAGAAAGTACAAAATCCCAGAATGTCTTGTTATGCCATAAAGCATGTTTTCAATAATTAATAGGGACAGTTTTAAAGGATACATATAACTTGAAGGGGCTCTTATTGGCCAAATTTAAGACAATTTGAGCATCAAAAGCAATACTGATAGTTAATTGCTTATAATACACTGAATTAAAGAAAGAAAGAAGGCTCTTCTTTAGAGAATACTGCTAGCTAATAAATGCAGACTGAATGACAGAATTAGTGAAGCCAGAATTTTATAATTCTCTAGCTAGTATTTCAAGGATGGCCAATGAATGCTAAAACTGGGCAACAGGATATTCACACGGTCTCTGGGTATCACCCCAGAAACTGCTTACAAAATGATAAAAGGAAAAATGTATCTTTTTTATAAGGAAACATCTGGCAGTTACTTCCTTAGCCAAGTTATCAGCTTGGTTTTCAAAAGTGAGACAAACTGCTATTAACTGTTTCCTGACACGAAGATTATGTAGTATTTCTACCAAAAATGTTTAACTCAACCCAATCACAAGGAAGCAATCTGACAAATCCAGATTATGGATGGGACATCCTACAGGACAAGTGGACTGGGCTCTTAACATTTTTAAAGTGCTAAAGATAAGAACTGTTGAACCAGAATTCTACATGAAGCAAAAATAACCTTTAAAAACCAAAGGGGGAAATCAACACATTCTCAAAAGGAGAGCTATAATTTTTCGTTAGCAGACCTATCCTAAAAGAATGGCTAAAGAAATTTCTCTAAACAGAAGTGATAAAAGAAAAAATCTTGGTACTTCAGGAAGGAAGAATGAACACAGTAAGCAAAAGTATAGGCAAATGTAATAGACTTTGCTTTTCCTCTTAAGTTTTCTACATTATATTTGATGACTGAAACAAAAATTATAGCAGACTGATGTGGTTTTAAAGAAAAAAAGAGAGGTGGGTGATTGTTCCAGATTTTAAAAAGATACCATAAACCAATGTAATATATCAGGAGGAAAGACACCTTATAAAAGACACTTTTGGTAGAACTGAGAAAATCTGAATATAAAATATATTTGAATTATTACTCAATTATGTTTTCTTAGGTATGACAATGGAATTGTGGTTCTGTAGGAGAACGTATTCTTATAAAATTTGTACAAAAGTATTTAAGGGTGAAGTGTCATGACATCTGAAAATTTCAAATGATTCAGGTAAAAACTGTGTGTGTGTGTGTGTGTGTGTGTGTGTGTGTGTGTGTGTGTGTGTAGAAAGAGGAAAAGAATGGCAAAGCAAATAAGGCAACAAAATGTTAAGATTACATCCAGGTGAAGGGCATATCAGCATTCAATATATCATTTTTTCAGCTTTTCTGTGGGTTTTACATTTTTCAAAATAAGAGTTAACAAACAATAGTACTAAGTGTGTTATGTCTGCGTGTGTGTGGTGAGAGTGCATGCATGTGTACTGATATGGTTTGGATTTGTGTCCCTGCCCAAATCCCATGCTGAATCGTAATCTGCAGTGTTGGGAGGTGGGGCCGGGTGGAAGGCAACTGGATCATGGGGGTGGTTTCTTATTCTTAAGCTGAAGATCAGGGTACCGGCCTAACAATTTGAAGAAAACCAAAATGTTCCTGAGGAATCCTCACCTGCCATATTTACAGGTTGTGTAAAAATGTCATCCTGGGCACTTCGTGTTCTGTTGTCCTCTTTGATGAACTCCAAGTATGGTACTGCTTCACTCAAGGTGGTGGGAGTTAGCAAGACATCTACTCCAGAGTTAAAAGCATTCACAAAGTCGTTAGCAATGAGGCGTCTCACTTTCTGTGCTTTGACGAAATAATTTTCATAGTTTCTGAGGGAAAAAAATGGGTGACGTATTAAAGGACTTTTTGTATTTTTCTTTGAATCAACTGTCTTATATCAGGCTTGATAAAGAACCACTGGATTGTTGGCTTTTGTGAGCAGGCACCATTAAGATTCTTAATAACACATAAAAATGAATTCAACTGTGCTGCTACTCATAAATTTAATCAATCAGAATTCACTAGTAGATGCAATTCTACATGTATAATCTCAAAATATTAGTAATTCCAGAGCCATCATTAAACCAGAATATTCATTTTAAAGTGAGTAAAGTACATAGCAATAAATGACTTTCTAAAGGTTACCAAGATAGACAGTAGTAAACTTTGCAGTATTGAATTTTGTATTTTATGGATAAGTGTAGCCCAGGGGTGGAAAAGTGAAATTCAAGAATGCTTATTTTACTAAAAAGACTAAGGAAAAAGCCAGACATAGGAGTAACCGTAAGTCAATGATACCAAGAAAAGTGAAAGGAAAATCTTTTAGATTCTTCTGAAGCTGTCGGGAGAGGCTAGCAAGAACTAACTGTTCTAAACCTCAGTTTCCACAGCTGTAAAAATGGATATACCTGCTCCAGTTTTACTGAGGGCAAAATAAAATATGATACAAATGTGAAGTATGTTTTACTCTAAAAAGGTTGTACAGAAATATCATATGTCCTTACTCTTATTTGACCACAGGGTCTACAGAGAAACCAGTGCAGGCATCACATAATTTACACAATAGTAGGTGGTTTAAACACCACATTTACAGCATTCCAAAACCTGAATTTTATTTTATTTTCAGAGGAGTTTTGCCCTTGCCCAGGCTGGAGTGTAGTGGCGTGATCTCAGCTCACCACAACCTCTACCTCCTGGGTTCAAGCGATTCTCCTGCCTCAGTCTCCTGAAAAACTTGAATTTTATAAAGAACAAATAATTGTTTTCTATTAAATTTCTTCCTACTTTAAATATGGCTCAAAAGAAGAACTGCTTCCATCCAAGATGGAGTAATGGCAGCTGGGATTTACCCTGTGCTATGGTTTGAATGTTTGTCCCCTCCAAAACTCATGTTGAAATTTAATTGTCACTGTAACAGTATTAAGAGGTGGGATCTTTAAGAGGTGATTGGGCCATGGATTGGTGCCATTATAAGAGTAAAGTTCAGCCCTCCATGTGCTTTCCCTTTCTCTCCCTCTTTTTCTCCCCACCCTTGCTTTCTGCCATGTGTGGACATAGCAAGAAGGCCCTCACCAGGTGCTGGCTCCTCAATGTTGGACTTCCCAGCCTCCAGAACTGTGAGCCAGTCAATTTCTCTTCACTATAAATTACCCAGTTTCAGGCATTCTGTTATAGCAGCAAAAATGAACTGCTTCTCAGAATATGGGATTAAAAAAATGAACTAAGACACTCTGCCTTCTTAAACGACTAGAAAACTGGACAAAATATATATGAAATGACCATTTTCAGACATTAGACAACAGATGTTCAGGAGAAAAAGTTGTGAGAGAAGAGAAACAAATGAAGTAAGCCAGGCCAGGCGTGGTGCCTCATGCCTGTAATCCCAGCACTTTGGGAGACTGTGGTGGGAGGATTCCTTGGGCCCAGGAGTTCAAGACCCGCCTGAGCCACACAGGGAGACCCTGTCTCTACAAAAAATTCTGTAGTAGTCCTAGCTTTGCTGGAGGGCGGGGAGTGTTGTGGATTGCTGAGAAGTGCATGAACCTGGGAGGTTTAGGTTGCAGCAAGCCCATGGCAACGGCAGTGCACTCTGGCTTGGGTGACAAAGTGAGATCTTGTCTCAAAAAAGAAAAAAAAAAGGTATACCCTTTTAATTTCCCCAGCTTAATGCCTAGAGGCAGTTTTCAGGCCTCATTTCAGAGAAAGCTAAATAGTATTGGGGGGTAAGTTAAAGAGACAGAGATCTGAAGTTCAAGGAGACAAAGACAGCTAGAATTTGCAAAGCAGGGTACTGAGTAGGAGGGAGTGGCACAATGAGAGAACGCAAGAGATCTGCAGGGAGATTCCTTGAGTCTTTGGCTGAGTACTGATCTATGAATGCATGAGAAGGACCCCAACGCTGTGGAAACAATCCCCAAAAAGCAGTGGACCAAACAATTGCTAGAGCTCAAACAGGGCTGGAAAGAGTTTGTGTTTCTAACAGCCAAAGTGAAAAGACTTGAATATGTGCAGCATCAAAGCATCACCTCAAAGTAAAGTAAAATTAGCCGTGGACTAAAGGCTGCTTTGGATTTATCTTAACAAAGCTTAAAAATAAGACTTGAAAAGATCCAACAAATTCTAAGCAACTTTAATGCATCCTGCGAAAAAGCCCAACACTGTTTAAAGGAATCTAGCAAATGACAACGTAAAATTCACAATATACAGGCATGAAATGAAGCAAAAAATATGACCCATAACCAGAGAGGGAAAAAGCAATTAATACAAACAGATGCAGAAATGTTGGAATCAGTAGATAAGAACATTAAAATAGTTACTATAAATTTGTCCTTTTTATCTTTTTTTTTTTTTTTTGAGACAGAGTCTCCTTCTATCACCCAGGCTAGGGTGCACTGGCACAATCTCAGCTTACTGCAACCTCCACCCCCCAAGTTCAAATGATTCTTGTACCTCAGCCTCCCGAGTAGCTGGAATTACAGGCACGCACCGCGCCACCCCACCCAGCTAATTTTTGTACTTTTTAGTAGAGACAGGGTTTTGCCATGTTGGCCAGGCTGGTCTCAAACTCCTGACCTCAAGTAATCCACTTGCCTCGGTCTCCCAAAGTGCTGGGATTACAGGCGTGAGTCACCGTGCCCAGCCTAAATAGGTTCTATATGTTCAAGAAGGTAGAAGAAAACATAAAACAATGAAGAAATTGAAGGGATAAGAAGAGCTACATGGAACTTCTATACACAAAAAATACAATGTATAAAAAATATACTGGAAAGGATCCACGTAACAGAAAAAAAGCTCAGCGATTCTGAAAGCAGTAATGGAAACTAGCCAAAAGGAAGCAGAGAAGGAAAAAAGACTGGGGCGGCGGGGGGCGGGGCAGAATATAGGCCAGGCGCAGTGGCTCACGCCTGTAATCCCAGCATTTTGGCAAGTCAAGGCAGGCAGACTGCCTGAGGTAAGGTGTTTGAGACCAGTCTGGCTAACATGGTGAAACCCTGTCTCTACTAAAAATACAAGAAAAATAGCTGGGCATGGTGGTGTGTGCCTGTAATCCCAGCTACTTGGGGGGCTGAGGCATAGGAATCGCTTGAAGCAGGGAGGTGGAGGTTGCAGTGAGCTGAGAGATCGTGCCACTGCACAGCCTGGGTGACAGAGTGAGAACCCATCCCAAAAAAAAAAAAAAAAAGAAATGTATCATCAGTGAGCTGTGAGACAACATATCAGGTTGATTAAAAAGTCCCAGACAGATGGAGGAGGACAGGAAAAATACGTGAAGAAATAATGGCCAAAACTTTCCAAATTTGATTAAAACTATAACCCGTCAATACCTAGTTTATTGAGGGTTTTTAGCATAAAGGGCTGTTGAATTTTGTCAAAGGCCTTCTCTGCATCAATTGAGATAATCATGTGGTTTTTGTCTTTGGTTCTGTTTATGTGGTGAATTATGTTTATAGACTTGCATATGTTGAACCAGCATTGTACCCCCGGGATGAAGCCTACTTGATCATGGTGAATAAGCTTTTTGATGTGCTGTTGCCAGTATTTTATTGAAGATTTTTGCATCTATGTTCATCATGGATATTGGCCTGAAGTTTTCTTTCCTTGTTAAGTCTCTGCTGGGTTTTGGTATCAGGATGATGTTGGTCTCAAAAAATGATTTGGGAAGGATTCCCTTTTGGGATTGTTTGGAATAGTTTCAGAAGGAATGGTACCAGCTCCTCTTTGTATGTCTGATAGAATTCGGCTGTGAACTCATCTGGACCTGGGCTTTTCTTCGGTGGTAGGCTCTTAATTGCTGCCTCAACTTCACACTTTGTTATTGGTCTATTCAGGGTTTCAACCTCTTCCTGATTTAGGCTTGGGAGGATGCAGGTGTCCAGGAATGTATCCATTTCTTCCAGGTTTACTAGTTTGTGTGCATAGAGTTGTTTGTAATAATCTCTGATGATGGTTTGAATTTCTGTGGAATCTGTGGTGATATCCCCTTTATCATTTTTTTATTGCATCTATTTGGTTATTTTCTCTTTTCTTTTTTATTAATCTGCCTAGTGGTCTGTCTATTTTGTTGATCTTTTCGAAAAACCAGCTCCTGGATTTATTGATTTTTTGAAGGGTTTTTTTGTTTCTCTATCTCCTTCAGTTCTGCTCTGATCTTAGTTATTTCTTGTCTTCTGCTAGACTTTGAGTTCTTTTGATCCTGCTCCTCTAGCTCTTTCAATTTTGACGATAGTGTGTCTATTTTAGATCTCTCCTTGCTTCTCATGTGGGCATTTGTTGCTATATATTTTCCTCTAGAGACTGCTTTAAATGTGTCCCAGAGATTCTGGTATGTTGTGTCTTCGTTCTCCTTGGTTTCGAAGAACATCATCTTTATTTCTGCCTTCATTTCATTGTTTATCCAGTCAACATTCAAGAGCCAGTTGTTCAGTTTCCATGAAGCTGTGTGGTTCTGAGTTAGTTTCTGAATTCTGAGTTCTAACTTGATTGCACTGTGGTCTGAGAGACTGTTTGTTATGATTTCTATTCTTTTGCATTTGCTGAGGAGTGATTTACTTCTAATTATGTGGTCAATTTTAGAGTAGGTGTGATGTGGTGCTGAGAAGAATGTATATTCTGTGGATTTGGGGTGAAGAGTTCTGTAAATGTCTATTAGGTTTGCTTGGTCCAGCTCTGAGTTCAAGTCCTGGATATCCTTGTTAATTTTCTGTCTTGTTGATCTGTCTAATATTGACAATGGGGTGTTAAAGTCTCCCACTTTTATTGTGTGGGAGTCTAAGTCTCTTTGTAAGTCATTAAGAACTTGCCTTATGTATCTGGGTGCTCCTGTATTGGG